ATGCAGCATTCTTTGCAGCTCTAGCACGACGTCCGGCCTTGTGCCATCGATGATGCCGCAACGTTGATCTGCTTGCAGCTGCTCGTCGCAGACGAAGTACAGCTGCAAGAATTTGGGGCTATCATTGCCATTAGGAAGCAGGGATCCAACTCTATGATAGACCTGTCCCTGCACCTTGAACGTTGGCATGAAGCCCCGTTCCTCAACGTCTGGCGTGGCAACTGTAGTGCCAAACGACGTCATCTGGAAGCACGCATTGTACTTCCTGATGTTCTGCAAGAAATGCCTGGACACAGCACTGGTGCCGGACATGTATGAGCGAAGCGGCTCAGGCGGCTCACTTAGAGGCGGAAGATCGACCTTGCCGCTGGAGCAGCACATGCCAGGAGGTTCGGCTCTGAACTTCTTGGCTTGACACTTACCACATACGACATCCATCCTTCCGATTAGTACCTTCGGATGGGTCGAGTAGTCTACCTGGGCATCGTAGTTTAATGCCGCGAGGTGAAGATCTACTCGCCTGGATGTCTGTCGAGCGTGGACTTGTCGAGCACGATCACGTTCGAGCCTAACTGAATGCGCTGCACCAGTTTCCGCTCTTCGTGAGGCCTCAGTCCTCATTCGACTGCTGTCGAGGCGAGACTCGCGCTGTTCAGCCGTCTCCTGAGATCTGGCTTCAGCGTTTCTCGACCGCATGTCTTCGAGGCGAGACTCGCGCTGTTCAGCCGTCTCCTGAGATCTGGCTTCAGCGTTTCTCGACCGCATGTCTTCGAGTCGAGATTGGCGCTGTTCAGCCGTCTCCTGAGATCTGGCTTCAGCGTTTCTCGACCGCATGTCTTCGAGTCGAGATTGGCGCTGTTCAGCCGTCTCCTGAGATCTGGCTTCAGCGTTTCTCGACCGCATGTCTTCGAGTCGAGATTGGCGCTGTTCAGCCGTCTCCTGAGATCTGGCTTCAGCGTTTCTCGACCGCATGTCCTCGAGTCGAGATTGGCGCTGTTCAGCCGTCCCCTGAGATCTGGCTTCAGCGTTTCTCGACCGCATGTCTTCGAGTCGAGATTGGCGCTGTTCAGCCGTCTCCTGAGATCTGGCTTCAGCGTTTCTCGACCTCATGTCTTCGAGTCGAGACTGGCGCTCTTCACCCGTCTCCTGAGACCTGGCTTCAGCGTGTCTCGCTCGGTCGTCGTCGAGTCGAGATGTGCGCTCTTCAGCCGTCTCTTGAGATCTGGCTTCAGCGTTTCTCGACTGCATGTCTTCGAGTCGAGATGTACGCTCTTCAGCCGTCTCCTGAGACCTGGCTTCGGCGTGTCTCGCTCGGTCGTCGTCGAGTCGAGATGTGCGCTCTTCAGCCGTCTCTCGAGACCTGGCTTCGGCGTGTCTCGCTCGGTCGTCATCGAGTCGAGATGTGCGCTCTTCAGCCGTCTCCTGGGATCTGGCTTCAGCGGTTCTCAACCGTTTATCCGCGAATCGAGAATCACGGCTTTCTTGTGTTTCTGAGGCTCTCAGAGCAGCAAGCCGCAGGCGAGTCTGCGAGAGACTTGCTTCACGCTGTTCCAGCGTTTGCGTTGCTCTCGCCTCGGCTATTCTGGCACGATTGCCTTCTAGCCGTTCCTGGCGCTGCTCTGAGGTCTCAGCCTCTCGCTGATCCCTGACCTTTTTGGCCTTCGGATCAACTCTTCCGATGGATGCACGCTTCTTCGGCGGCATCCTGTAAGCTCCTCGAGATATGGGAGCCTCGGCTTCTCGGTACTCGAGGTAGAGCCGGCTTCTCGATGCTCGAGGTGGAGCCTGTTGGCTTCTCGGTACTCGAGTGGAGCCGTTGGCTTCTCGGTTCTCGAGGAGGAAAGAGCCTTTCGGCTTTGTCGCTTGGTCCTCAGATCCTAGGTCCTTTATCAGGTCCTCAGGTCCCTAGATCTTCGGTCCTCGCTTGGTACTCAGAGCTCTCGGTGGTTCAGTGGCCGCCGGCTAGCAGAGGTGAGTGACCGACAATGGCGAGATCGGCCGCCTTATATACCCCTTGAAAAGGGGCGGGGCCGGCTGTGATTGGTCACACCAACTCGGAAGGGGCGGATAGTTTTTGTATGGAAAGCCTATGCTTAACCACACGAATTGGACCGCCCACTTTGGACCGCCCCTTGCCCCGCCCCCTTGGAGGGGTATATAAGGCGAGGCGTCGCGGCACCGGTCATTTCCGGTGGTTGCCTCGTGCCGGACGGTTGCCACACTCGGAGGACAACCATCGGATGGCTCACTCGGAGGACATCCACCAGATGCCTCACCTGGAGGACAACCATTAAATGCCTCACTCGGAGGACAACCATCGGATACCTCACTCGGAGGATGCCTCCACTCGGAGGACAACCACCGGATGCCTCCTCGGAGGACAACCATCCGATGCCTCCAATTGGAGGACAACCATCCGATGCCTCCAATCGGAGGACAACCATCGGATGCCTCACTCGGAGGACGCCTCCACCCGAAGGATGCCTCACTCGGAGGACAACCATCGGATGCCTCCTCGGAGGACAACCATCCGATGCCTCGAATCGGAGGACAACCATCCGATGCCTCCTCGGAGAACAACCATCCGATGTCTCCAATCGGAGGACAACCATCGGATGCCTCACTCGGAGGACGCCTCCACCCGAAGGATGCTCACTCGGAGGACAACCATCGCCTCCAAGGACAACCATCGGATGCACTCGGAGGATGCCTCACTCTGAGGAAAAACACTCGGTTGTCTCCATTCGGAGGAACAACCACTCGGTTGTTCTCCTCCATTCGGAGGTACAACCACTCGGTTGTTCTCCTCCATTTGGAGGTACAACCACTCGGTTGTTCTCCTCCATTCGGAGGTACAACCACTCGGTTGTTCTCCTCCATTCGGAGGTTACAACCACTCGGTTGTTCTCCTCCATTCGGAGGTACAACCACTCGGTTGTTCTCCTCCATTCGGAGGTTACAACCACTCGGTTGTTCTCCTCCATTCGGAGGTTACAACCACTCGGTTGTTCTCCTCCATTCGGAGGTTACAACCACTCGGTTGTTCTCCTCCATTCGGAGGTTACAACCACTCGGTTGTTCTCCTCCATTCGGAGGTTACAACCACTCGGTTGTTCTCCTCCATTCGGAGGTACAACCACTCGGTTGTTCTCCTCCATTCGGAGGTTACAACCACTCGGTTGTTCTCCTCCATTCGGAGGTTACAACCACTCGGTTGTTCTCCTCCATTCGGAGGTACAACCACTCGGTTGTTCTCCTCCATTCGGAGGTTACAACCACTCGGTTGTTCTCCTCCATTCGGAGGTTACAACCACTCGGTTGTTCTCCTCCATTCGGAGGTACAACCACTCGGTTGTTCTCCTCCATTCGGAGGTTACAACCACTCGGTTGTTCTCCTCCATTCGGAGGTTACAACCACTCGGTTGTTCTCCTCCATTCGGAGGTTACAACCACTCGGTTGTTCTCCTCCATTCGGAGGTTACAACCACTCGGTTGTTCTCCTCCATTCGGAGGTACAACCACTCGGTTGTGAGGACAACCATCGGTTGCCGCTGCCGGACAACCGAGGTTGTAACAAAAATCGAACCGCTGGCTCAACACCTCCGTCGAGGTGAGCCATTCGGCCACCTCAGTCGAGGCGGAACCCGCGGTTCACTCGGTGAAAACGCACGGATATATCAACACTCGGTGAAACCGGAATTTTTACAGAAAAATCAAAAATGCTTGTATCTCGTTTCAGAGACATCCTGGGACCTTGCGTCAAAAATACGTATATGCTAACTTTTGATGGCCAATCCAGCGGTGCTACTCAAATAATTTTTCTCCTTCTCATTCGAAGACGCCATCATGATTTCCTCCCAATAAATTTTAAAAAACCCTGGAAGAACGGTTTTTTTCTCAAAATATTTTTGTATGTTTACCCACATATACAATGTGTGCATGCAAAAACTCAACAATTTGTCTAGATCTATTAGAACCTGAAATCCAAAAGAGTGTTTCATAAATAAGACATTTTTTAGAATACGCCAAAAATTTTCAAATTCAGACTTCGCCAAAAAATCAAAATTGTTGTGAATTTGAATGATCAATGTACTCTTTCAATACATTTGATTGGCATTAGCACTCAAATTGTTTTAGGGAGGCTGTTTTGTTATCAGCGCACTCGCTTATCCCTTACCGAAATCCAGTCCCAGATGACAGGAGAAATGTTTTGATTCAGGATTGAGGATGATAATTAAAGAATAGCTCGCTTGAATGCATGACCAAGTACCAACTTACATCTTTCCAATCCAAGGCTCTAAAAGAAAGTATTGGATATTCTCACGAACGGCTACTACATTCCGTAATCAGCATGCTCAGTTACCCCACTCTGCCAACTCCCACTCCCGTAGCTTGGACTTTGCGAAAAAATCGATAAAATCAATAAAAGTAATGGACGTTTTCAAAAACTAATTTTGTATTCGTAATCAGCATGCTCGATTACCCCCTGGGCAAACTCCCAGCCTCGCATGTCAAAATTTACAAAAAAATCGATAAAATCGATAAAAGTAATGTACGATTTCAAAAACTAATATTGTATTCGTAATCAGCATGCTCGACTACCCCCCTGTGCAAACTCCCAGCCCCGCAGGTCAAACTTTACAAAAAATCGATAAAATCGATAAAAGTAATCGATAATTCTGAAAACTAATATTGTATTCGGAATCCCCATACTCACTTACCCCCCTTTGCCAACTCCCAGCCCCGTAGGTGAACTCCGCAAAAAAATCGATAAAAATCGATAAAATCGATATCGATCGATGACGAAAAGTAGCCTATGACACGCGCCGGGGCCCGAAGTGTATGTGTGCCAAGTTTGGTCCGGATCGGTTCAGAAATGGAATTTTCTATTCGGAACATACGTACACACAGACAGACATACAGACATACATACATACATACATACATACATACAAACAGACATTCAGCTTTATATATAAGATGCGGCATCGGATTTTCAGGATTTTTGTGAACGCCTGTATAATAGGCCTTCAACTGGGAATCTGCAGCGCCTTCTACATCTTTGTCGTAGATCATGCGAAAGAGGCCAGTATTTCTGCCACTATAACTGTCAGTCTTTCTAGAGCTGAAAAGAATTTGTTGCTTTTAGGCTCTTGATTATATGCTGACCAAAGACCTTTCTCGCAACATGCTGTTCTTTACTGCATTGCCATTCTTTATTCTCATTGCAAATGTTAGCAACATGACATTACTCTCATGGATTGGTTTACTCGGAAATGTTTTACTTGCAATTTCTACCGTCATAATTTATGTGGTAAGTGCCTATTCTTCATTGTTTCTTCATTTAGAATAAAAAATCTTCTTCAGCATTTGATAATGAAAGATAATCACCTTCCTATATCAAAATTACCGGTTTTCACTAATGTTGAAGGTGCTAGTCTAGCTGCTGGATGTATTATCTACTCCTATACGGGTCAAGGAGTGGTAAGTTCTGTTCAGCTCTGTAAGCATCACTACAACCTAATTCAGCTGCTGGGTTTGGAAAGCAAAATGCAGAAACCCAAGAAGATGCTCGGCTTCTTTGGCGTCATAAGCACTGCCATGGGTACTGTTACACTATTGAATACTGTTACTGGATTATTGGGCTATATCACTTATGGCGAAGACTTGGAAGGAAGCATCACTCTTAATCTTAGCAATGAACCGTGAGTTTTTGTGATAAAAAATTAAAATTAGGCGAGTTGTGCTGCTAGAAAGTCTAAGTCAAGTGTTTCACGCGCACTAACAATAATAATAGGAAAAGTAATTTCATAGGATTCAGACTGAGAAGCTATAACCCTCAAAGCCTTTGTTTTGAACTCAAGTGTTTGAGTCGCCACTAATTGAGCAAAATTATTTTCGATGCTTTCTAAAATCTGACGGTAATGGTCTCAAAGCTTATAGACAGCCTCAGTAGAACGCTCCAACTTCCAGGAAAACTTGGACTCTCAAACCTTTGTTAATTTTTTGAGCTCAATGCAATTATCAACTTGTTTATTGAGTTCTCATCCCGATGTGAGGATTTCAGTTTGCACTTCTCCGTCAAAATCATGCTTCTGGTAATGACGTATCTCTCCTATCCAGTTGTGATGTATCCTATAGTTGATATGTTCTTCCCATTCATCGAACGGCGTATCAGACACACCAAACGGCACGTCGTGACACTGTCGCATTATGTATTCCGATATGTGGTAGTACTGATCTCTTGTAAGTTCCCTCCCTCACTATTACCTCAGACCTAAGTAAAAAATTAGCTTTTCAGTTGCACTCGCATATGTTATTCCAAACTTCAAAGACATTCTGCCGCTTATCGGTACTCTTACTGGGACGATATTGGCGATATTTTTTCCACCGCTTCTCCATATGGTGGTATTTCTGAAGAAATGGAAGAAAGGCAACACCGTTAAATTAGTATGGAACATGACACACAATGTCATTTACCTAGTACTCAGTATTGTTTTACTTGTTGTAGGTTTATATTCGAATATTCGTAATCTCAGTGGTGCCAGTAGCTCATAGTTATAGAAAAGTGCTGCTAATTGTATGCTAACTTAGCTGACTCGAATGAGATGGTATTGATAAATTTCGAACGTCATGAATGTGCAGATGTTCTACACACAGACATCTTTATGGATTAGAATGGCTCATTCCGCAAAATGACAGTGCTTGTCTCAAAAGTCAAAATCACCATTTCTTCTATCTAACCAAATGAAATTCGACTTTATAACAAGCACCTGAACATTTATGGGACATTAGCCCTGTTGCGACTCCGTGATGCGAGCGCTCCTAGAAGTAAGAGGCCGGGAGCAGTGGTTGCTGCCGCGTTCTCCGGCGACGATTACGGTACTTTCTCACGCTTGGTGTAATCGCGTTCACACCTCTCTTCGTCTTGGCGCGTTGCCAGCAGAAGGCTATATATAGGCGGCGGTCCCTCATTGCAGCGTCAGTTCGCTTTCGTTTTCGATCAATACTACATGTTTTCTATTGTGCTCGTGCCTGAGAGTTTAGCTCCCGCCTTGATATCCCTTTCGTGCTAGCGGTTTAGCGGATCGGATTTCATACTAGATTGGAATTCAAGTCGGATTCAGGACTGTTTTGGAAGAGCTACTTTTGGAACTTTTGGAATATGAGATTTTATGGACATTGGGAGGCAGAGGCTGTCGCGCCTGTCATTCGGAGACGCATGGCGTATCTGTGTAAGTAAAGCTGGGAGCACATTTGTTCTTTGTATGTGTACTCACATAATTGCCGGGGGCAGGCGGTCCGCAAACTCGCGCTTTTCTGCAAGCGCTCAGCAAAATTTTGGAGCGCAGCCAAACCTTCAGCGAGCGGAACTCAATTATTTAGCGAATAATATCAGGCGGACAGAGATGTTGCAGGTTCGGGCAAGCGCTCATCACACATTTACGGGCGGAGGCAAAGCCCCATTGTGCGGCTGTCGTTTATCTAGCAAGCAGTTATCTTCTGCAACGTTGTGGGCGGCAGGCAAAGTTTCAGCAATTGGCTATGCATTATAGAACGAGCAGTATGATGCAATGCTCGTGCGATAAGCTAATTTTCAACAAGCGATCTTCAGGATGCCGAAAAATATCATACGAAAATTTTGAGACGCGGAATGCCGTGTTTGTGAGCAGCGAGATTACGGGGAACTGAAGGCACATCTGTTCGACTATCACTGGAATCATGAACTCCTCCCTTCAAACTTATCACAGAAAGATTGCCAAAAGGTATTTAGTTAGCTAGAACAGCTAATAAGAGCCAGACACTGGCCACATTTTACAGCTTTTGCTAGGCAAGAAAATGGCTGTCAGAATAATTCTGAAGTACCTTCTCTGACAGCTTCAAATTGAACTTTCAGATGTTTATTTTCTACCGGTTTCTTCTGCATTTCATATAATAAATCTCAAAATTTTGCTTTTGGTGCTCTTACTGGCAATATTGACCGTCATAATCTGTGCCTTAGGCATACGCCAGTCAACTATACATGGCATCGTTTACCGCTCAGAAGTGTAGCGTCGACGATGTCTAAGCGACGGTATGAAGATATTGACATCGGATCAATTTGCAGGTTGACTACGAAGGTGATGGAATGCTAAAAAGAAATATTCATTTTCTTTTAGTTCGAGCCTCATCAACCGATCGGTATCGCAGCGCCTCAGAAGACGGTTTCCCATTGAAGTTAGTCGACTATGGTCCGCGTTTCCTGTGTACTGTCTTGAGATTTTTGGCAAATGCTTCGTACTAATAATAAAAACAGGAGCAAACTGTCTTGTCTGGTTGTCTGGTTTATCTATAGGGATCTTTGATTTTGTTTGATAGCACCAATAAATTTTTTTATCAAATGTGTATTGCTGGCGAGCAGATGCCATTACGCCGAAATGGGAACTGTTTTCGCAGCCACAATCGTCAGCCAATCTACGAAAACTTAGCGAGCGCGAATCACTCAGATAATCGCCGGGGGCAGGCGGTCCGCAAACTCGCGCTTTTCTGCAGGCGGTCAGCAGGATTTCCGGGCGTGGCCAAATCTTTAGCGGGCGGTACTTGCGTTTTCTGCAAGCGGGCATCAATACAAAATTTTCTGCAAGCGCTCGTCAAACAATCTCTTTCAGCGAGCGCTGGCCAAACTTTCAGCAGGCGCTCAGACTCTTTTTACGCAGTTTCGGGCGTACGCCGAGAAAAGATGAGACTCCATGTGGCAGAGGTGCCATCGATGGTTTTATTACCCAAGTTTGGGGTACTTTCTTTCAGCGGAAAGTACCTGAGGGCTCTGCGGTCCTCCAAAAAGGACCGTGCGGCTCTCAATAATTTTGCATGTTCTCGCGGAAAATCCGCGAGAATGCGGCCATTGTGCCGCAACTTATGTATAGAAAAACCGCGATAGATCTTCGAGCGTTCGTCTAAAAATTGGCCAAAATTATTCCAAATTTCTGCAAGCGGACCGCAAAAAATCAGCGAACTATTTTTCCGGTGCCCGCTTGCTCAAAATTCGCATGGCCGCTTGCCCCCGGCGATTATCTGAGCAGTCGCGCTGCCATCATTCAAATTCTCACAATGAAAAGGAGTTTTCGCATTGAAAAAGCTGCGAGCGGGCAATGGTAAGGAATCAGCGGAGACCAACCACTAAGCGAGCGCTCTGCAAAAATTTGGCAAAGTAGCAGCGATTGCTCTGAACAGTTTCCGAGTAAAATCGCGCGCGGAGACCCGGACATTGACGTGCGGGCTACGACAATTCAGCAAACTATTTTTCCGGTGCCCGCTTGCTCAAGACTCGCATGGCCGCTTGCCCCCTTCGATTATCTGAGTAGAAGCGCACTATCGGTAGCACGGGACGAGACACCCTATCCCGTTTTGGGGTTTTTCTTTCATTTTAATAGTTTAGTTATAATATAGTTATAGTTATATATTTTAATAGTATATTATAAGAACAAATTCTTAGTAATTTAAAATTGTTTCTTTACGCGTTAGGCATAGTAATAGGCTAGGAGGCGTGTATGTATTAAGCGGGCGAACGCACTAGGTCTCGGGTAAATCTAGGTGCTTAGGGCTTACCGAACTGCAGTAATCCCAAAGCGCGGCAAGGTTGTGCAATAAAGCAAAGCGCTTGTACAATCTCAACCACGATCTCCTTGTCGACCGCCTATAGTGCTGAACATATATTAGGTTGTCCCATAAGTCTTTTCATATTCGGACCTTCAATTCGATATTTCTCAAGAACTAGAGCACCTAAAAGGCTGCAAATTTGTGGCAGTAATTTTGAGTTAATACACTATATAAATACCTATTTGCGGTAAACACAGAACTGATACAGACAAAGTTTGAAAATTGAGCGCATTATTTCTTTCTCGGTTTCTAGCCGTCAGAAAAATGCAGCAAGGGCATGTATAAATATCCGATGAGGAGAGTATATGCTTGAGAAAGCAGGAAATTTGCAGAGTTGTTTTGAACTGAGATATGATGATTTTCGTATTTTCGAAAAATTGAAAATTTTTCTATTTTGGCTCGGAACTCGTTGCAGATTGAACTTATTGCGAGCTTTTGAACGCCATCTTGTAGAGCTTGCTTTGATCTTTCGAACGGTGTCCTGCATTTTATTGGGAGTTCAAGAAGAACTGATTTATGTCGCTGAAAAGTCAGGTATGAAAAGACTTATGGGACAACCTAATAAAACCTAACATTGTAGTATTAGCATCTTTCGTAATGATGTAACAAAAATGAAGTTTCAGCAGTCATGCTTTCCTCATAAACTTAAAAGATAGCCTGACATAGTTCCGAAGTGAAAGATGCATAGCCGTCTAGTCGAAGGCAGCTCACCAATCCCAGAACGTCTTTTAGCAACGACCCACCCACTCATGACAAACGATTGCTTCACTAGTGGACAGAACAGCTCCATCTATTGGGTATCTTATAACTAACATACGATATGAACAGCATACGATCGCTGATAAAAGAGCTACTCATTGTCAACTTTAAACTTGCACAAAAGGATGAATGGCGCTCCAGTGTTCAACGAGCCCTAATCTTACTAGTTCTTTGCTGGGTCACACATTGATTGATGTAGAAGAGTTATACGTCAATTATTTTATATAGTGCTCTACGAGCACTTTTTTCTTTTCTTGAAGTCATTTCCAAATGATTATTTTCAAAACCTAAAAATTCATTGAAGCATTTCCAAGCGATAAATCTGCAAACGATGTTAGTGTTTCAACTATTGCCTTTTTTCGTAAACTACTATAGAAAAAGCCAAACGAAGTAGCGCAGACCATACTCGAAAGCAAGTCTAAACTATCAGATGAATTTCAGAGGGACTTGATGCATTGGGGCGTGAATAGAGATACATACTTTTAACTCACACACCGCATTTCACGGGTTTTACAAAAACAGGTACCCTAATTCAGAATGTGCAGGTGTTTATACCATTTATAAATGCGAGCTGACTCGCGTACATCGCTGTACATGTGTCTCGCACAGCGGTCGCACTCTCGCGCCATCTTCTCGTTTAATGAACCATACGGTAAAGATTCCTACACGGATATGTTTGGTGTGTTTGCCTTCAAAGCAGCGGTTCGTGTACACTGAAATAGAATTATCTTGTACGATGAACAATAATATGATTAAGGTGTTCAAGCTTGAGATGAGGCACAATTCAAAAATGACCTTCTTCCTTCTGTTACTCACCTACTAACGGACCTCATACACTTCTTCTTGTTCGCCTCAGATTCGTAATGTGAATAGTGGAAAACCAGTATTGAGAAAATGTGTGCTAACTCTTGTACAATTTTCTGCGATTACACTCACTATACAGTACAACAGCAAAAAATAAAGGTTAAATTGGGGATGGGAGGCAGAAAGTTTGAAGTATTTTGGAAGCCTTAAGATGCTCTAAAGTAAATTCATTGCTTCAGGACAGATTCCAGGTTCAGTAAAAAATAGAGCGATTCGGAGATTGTAAAGGTAATTGAACTGGTTCAAGCAGAAGCTCACAAGATCAAGCAGGTTAACACATTGACGACCACTTGACGCACATGCTGTGTCAAGCAATGACTACCTCGTGGGACAGCTTGGCACAGCATGTGTGTCAAGGCTTGAATTTTGTAAAAATGACTATTATCCTAGGGTAGACTCATTCGATGAGTTTTTTTGCGCTGAATTTAGGGATGACCTCCACCTTTTTTATCAGCCTTCCAGATTAATTGTAGGTGTGCTGTAGTTCGCAGCATGCGTAATTATAGTTCAAAAATGTGGGCTGGTCCGTAAAGGGCCTTGGTCCCAGAAGGCAGACAACTAAAAATCTGCATGGTGGTCGATGTGTTAACACGGTTGTGCCCAACGTCACTAACTTCAATCGAAGAATTTTAAGCCAATCAGCAATGCAAAACTACATAGTAACTAAATTCTGCAGGCTGCAGAATTTATTATTCTCAGTTCTGCATTTGAGGCTACTGCGCTTTGGCTTTGTTGTATGAAGCAACGCTCAAGCTGGAGAAAGCAAGAGTAGAAATTTTGGCAGCGTTTCCAATCCACTATTTGAAAGCATTGTAAAGCGCGATATTTTCCATGGATTGATGAAGGATAGTATCTTTGATGAGAATGAAAATCTTGACTTTTTTACAAACAAAGTCAGTTTTATTTAATGACGGTTTCATTGGTTAAAAAAACTGTGTTTTACAGAGTAACCAGGAAATGTGACAAGCTTCTTACTAGTCTTTTTCGCGTGTTTACGTTGGATGTATTAACAGCATTTTGGAATTTGGCAAGATGTTACATGACTTTGATACTGGGTACGCTATTGTTCACAGCACGTATCCCTCTTCTGTGTCAAGTATAATAGTTTTTGTGTAGTCGAGATTTGTGTTTGGTGAACATGACATTAATCGTTTTGAAGTTTTGTTCATGGAGCCGCCAGGTATCGGAAGAACAATATTTTACAATCTTTCGCACATGTCGTTCTTTTGAGGTACTCAATTAATTCCAAGCACAATCTTCCAGCATTGCATGCTTTCCCGTTGCTCGCTTGTTCTAAACACCGTAATGAGGAAATGAGGTGTGGAAGCGCACTATACAAAGCTATAATATAATTTGATATTGTTGTCCCTTGCAGTATTTTTGAAGAAGAAAACGTTAGAGAGCAATAGAGATGTCATAAAGGTAAAAAGGAAAGCGAGCAGTAAAAGTGTCAGTAATATGTATCGCATTGCTGCTTTTATGGGCTGGAATCTCTGGCTGTAAGAAAAAGGAGCTATTGACCAAAAATGAGTCGAAAAGTGTGCAGAAAACAATAGCAATGAGCATTTGGCGTATAACGAATGCATTGAAAACAATGAATGATTCATGATATTATTAATTTTTCCAATTAAAGTCCCAGATTATCTATTCGTATAAGGCCAATTACATCAGTCTTATGCCGTCATCAGCTTCAATTCAGAAAGCAAAGTTCGCTGACAGATCAGAGTGGTGCTGTACAAGCCTCAGCCTATTCTCACAATGGATAATCGTAAAACCTGACTAATGCAAAGTAAAGTAATGGATCACAAATAATCGAAGGAGACCTCTATAAAGCGTGGGCATAGAATGATAAGGGAGCTTATTGAGCTATAATTATGTGTAGAACATTTGGTAGGTGACAACGAGTGCCGCACACATATCTGGAGTGTTAAAGGAAAACGCAGAATTTCGTTGATACATAAACAGGGAGACCTGCATGTCGCCACGCCCGCTCACAGATCTGTTTTTATTTCTCGTAGAATCGGATCAAGCTAAAAGGGAAGCAAAACATGCCTGAATCTTTGCTGAATGCTTACGGTCATTATTCCTTTGGAAGACTGCCATAGGGACTTAC